TAAATCAAACCAAACCAAATCAAGCATGCATATGTAGGTTTTTGGAGTCATATCATGTTCTGGACTGATATATTTTCCCTAGTTATGACTGCAAATTTATTTTGTTATTTCTTCATATATACTTGGAGTGCGGTTCTACTAATCTCTTACTAATATCTCCTATTGTTTTTTGTTTGTTTCGTTATTCGTTATTCTTTCCGAATTCCCTCATCTGTTTGGAACTTGTTGATGTTATTAGACGTTAATATCGTCTAAAAATAACATAAACATGGGCTTTTAATAATTTTTTTTTTAAATATTAAAGTTATTAAGATGGAAGAAAGAAGAAAAAAAAAAAGATGATGGTGTTTAGGTAGTGATGGGACTGGTTTTAAGTAGAGGGAGGTCACAAACACAATTAATTAAACTATTTTGTAGATTGTAATCAACATGTTACTTGAAATCGTAAGAGGCATCATTTATGTGTCATTGAAAACAAATGAGTGACAGGTGCCACCATTCGCCTTATTTCACTTTCTTTAATCCATCCATGACAACCAATTGACAAGAAATATCAACCATCACATTGGGATAATTGTGTTTAACTCTCATTATCACTGCTAATAATTTATCAATTTTAATCTAATTAACTTTTATATATATTTTTTAATTTTATGCAGTAAATATATATATATATATATATATATATATATATATATATAATTAGTGTGAAAAAAGAAGAAAATTTTGACATTTTATTCGAAGAAGCACCCCATGTTCGTGTGAGTACTAATAAATTATGCCACTTAGAAGTGTCTATTCGAGAAGACCCCTAATGTAGACCACTTAATGAAGGCCCATTAACGTTAAAAGCAACATTAGCACATGCACATGTCACTCATAACCAATCCCTTCATATTACAAGACATAATTAATAAAACAATATAAATAAATTCTAGGTCTTGTTCATTGCACCAAATCTCAATCTCCTTCTTTATCAATCACACAAACTCAATTCACACCACAATTAGTGAAATACTCCCCGTTACTTTTCCCCTTAATTCTTTCTCTTTCACACACATATATCATCTCACTCAATGGGTGAAAGAATCTCACTTGATTTTATTGTACCATGCAAGATGCTACTTGTTAGAGAGATGGAAACACTCGAATTTAAGGGAAAAAAGGTACATATATAATTATATTAAAGGACGAAAATTTCATAAAAAGTTAAGGACTAAAATTATGAATTTTACAAAATATAAACACAAAAAATAAATTAAGCTAACAATTTTTCTCTCTCTAATAAGACACTTTTTAAAATAAAATTATAATATATAATAATATATATATATATATATATATATATATATATATATAATTTGGCTACCTATTCCTTATAAATTGTAATGTATATAATTCAACTTTATAAAATCGGTTCCATAGACTGAAATTGTACTTACTTATATATTATTATATCTCTCGTCGATATGAGATTTCTTAATACACCTCCATATTGAGGAAGATTTATGTATCACACCTCTTTATATTAAAGAGAATTTTTTTCATTACACTCCTCTCGTATCAAACAATTATTGGTTTGATAACGAGTGATTACATATAGTATTAGTCAATGTGAAATTTCTCTACACACTCCTTTACATTGAGGATAATATATTTTCATCATACTCTTTAATATCAAAGAAGATTTTTTTTATCACACCCAGTCACATCGAAGATGGATGGTCTAATATTAATCCGATAACGAGTGGTTAAATCGACCATAAGATTATTAAGTTCATCATTATTAACAATTGTCAAAGTTGGTCATCTTAAAAATTATAAGATACATAATTAAACATTATAAAATTGACTTAGTAAGGTGAAAATTTATCTATATATTATTATGTTATCATATTTCTAATAAACGTGGGGTTTCTCAACAAACAAATCATTAGAACCATTTGGATCTTCACATGTATGTTATGTTGGATTTGTATAATTTTCTTTATATAATTATGATTAATTTTGTTTAAAATTTGTACACACTTCAAATCTCATAAGGGTAAAGAGGGATAGGAAGTGCAAATAGATAACTACATACACAAATACATACATAGTCAAGTTTCGTGGAAAAAACAACTGAAGACAAAAAAAAAAGGTTAAAGGGGAGAGAAAGAGATAGAGTATCAAACAATCATTATTACATTTTGACTTTAACTCAAAGGAAGAAAGCTCTAGAGGAAGATTGGCATCTAATTGAAATTATTATTTTACATCTTTATTTTTAAAATAAAAGAGAGAGAAGAATTTAAATTTTGATGATAAAAACATAAAAGATATGAAAAAGGGTGCTCAAAATAATTAAACAAAAGATGATGTTGTTCTTTCTCGTGAGGGGTCAACAAATATCTCATGGCGACTTAAATCAGAAACATGAACCATGCGATATGATAGAAGCGGGTTTTTAGTCTCATCAGTTAATGATTCAGTGAAGAATGTGCGTTGCGATGTTATTGGTGGATCAATGTTGATTGTGTGTTAACTGCTATGAGTAGAATAGAGTAGGCAAATTAATGATTTTTTTTGCATTGAAATGTAAACCCTAATTGGTAACACTGCCATTATTATTGACTAGCCCAAGTTTTATTAGCTTTTCTGTCTTAAAATGAGTTGACAAATGATGCATAACATCATGTTATCAAAGTAAAAAAGCAGCATCTTATCACTCAATATAAAATTAATTCCATACTTCTCCATCAATCGTGGGCCATTATAATATATTAATCAAATTTTACATACAATTTACTTTTCGCTTTTGTTTTTTATTCAATATATATAGTGTTCCATAAGAGATTTCGAAATTTTGAAGAATTTAAATGTACGAAAACTTTTTTTTTTCAATTAAATTCCATTTGTTTAGAAGATGTTTTGATAGATTAAAGTAATTTAAAAATTTATGTTTCAATTTTTTTTAATGAGAAAGTAGTGTGGAACACATTTACTTTTTAAAGAATTAAAAGATTTGTCATTATAAATATTTAGATTTTAATCTAAAGAATTAAAAACTTTGTCATTCGAAAAAAAATGTAGATTTTAATTTAATTTTTTTTTAAAAGTGACTTAATAAATATATAAGTTATATTTAAATTATTCAATAAATATATAAATTGTATTTATAAAGAATCATGATAAATAATGTGAGATTTTTTTAACATGTTTTTTTATTAAGAAAAATAAAGACAAGTGATATAAGTTTCTTTAGTGTTTCTTCGATTAAGAATAATCGAGACAAATAACATGATTATCTCCAAAAAAAATTATAAAAATATTTTTTATGAATGTTGTTTGATTTCCTTTATTTTATTTAAAAAATTTATCTTTATAATGCTAATAATTTAAAGATTTTTAGATTTGATTTCATAAACTTTTTCCATTTCACTAAAAAAAACTAATTTTTCCTCTCTATTCAAACAATTAGTATTTTGGCATGTGCATTGTGCAAAATGAATAAGTATTTGTAGTGTAATTATAATTCATATTAAATAATTTAAACATGATAAAATCAAACTATTTATAGATATTTAGTTCTACAAATTTCAATGTTCCCACATATCATATCCTGGTAGAGTCAATTTTTACTTAACTTATAAAATTGACTTAACTCAACTTTTAATATTCTTGAAAAAGAAAAGATATAAAAACATAAAAATTAATTAAAAGAAGGAGAAAATTGAGGTTTCACCCTTCAAATAAGAATAAATGTATTTAAATGTTGATATTTGAAATATATAATATGTTAGCTACATCTAAAAAAAAACAAAAAGTTAAAAAACAATTGTTCTTACACTAGTGAAGTAAATAAACAATTATTTTAGTGTAAATTAAAGATATATCTGGATCAATCTGAAACTAGTTTTTCAGTAAGGTAGAGAAATTTTGGATGAGCTAGATGTAGCCATTATATAAAATAATTATTTTGATAATGTATTTTATTTAGGAAAATATTGTTGTAACAATAGAGCTATTATAGAGTTTTTGTACTATAATTATACTATAATATATAAACACCCCCACCACATAATCAACACATAAAATAGGTAGTTTATTAAAACTCAACCTAATTAGGCAGTGATCTGTTTGGGCAATTTCATTTGATTGTGAAAGACCAAAGTATGCTGATACACCAAAGTTAACTAACTTTCTAATGCACCAATCATTCACCACTAGCTTCTACCACCACTACCACACTAGTAAAAATAAACATTACTTCACATTCATAGAAATTATTTTCCTCTAAGTGTGAGATATGAGATGTGAAGAAGACAAAAGAGGGAAGAAATTTTGAAAATTTGTACTTATCTTTATGATGGGTATGTATTTAGCGTTCTAAGGGGTGCGGTTAACAATTTAAAAATGCATTTTAATGTAGAATTGGGCTGCAAGTCTGAATCCAAAATATTGCTCTGCAAGATTTTGTTGGACAAAAGATGTATTTTTTGAAAGGAAAAATATTTCTTTTGACAAGCATGTTTACAAACATTTGATATAGATAATCTTAAAATATTTATTTTTTAGTTGATTAATAGAAAAAAGAATGAAATAAAATAGATAAATAATAATATAAAAATTTAAAAGGAAATTGTTGAATAAATATTTCATCATGTGAAAATATCAGCACTTGAAACATGTAACAAGAGTAAATTTTGTTGTCTAACAAAATTAAATAAAACATGTGATAAAAAAGGTTTTCGAAATAACTTGATGGGCAATATGTTAAATTAATTTATACTTCTAACTACAATTATTTATTTAAGGTCCACCACACAGCATAATATTAGGGTGAAATATTCACCCACTTCATTAATAATTAATTCTACTTACATTTAAAAAAACTTAGAATATTTGAGCAAACACATTTTAGTTCCATTGAATTGGGAAATGGATATGGGATTTCACAAATATGGAACTAGGTATTTATATTAAGATTAAGATTAATGTCCCATCCCTGTAGATGAAGCATGCTGTTTCAGACTAAAGTGAATGTTAATGCAATTGCTATGCTTGTCTCACTCACACGCCAACAACACTCACTCCCCATGCACTTCCCCACCCCCAATAGCACAATCACCATTACCTCATTGTTCAATCACCTCAAGTCTCCACCCAATGTTCATGAAACAAGAAGATTGCACGCTCTTCTTCTTGTTCTGGGTTTCTTTCAACCCATTTCTCCTCATACATCATCCATTGCTTCACAGCTTGTGAATGTCTATGTCAACTTTGGTTGCCTCCAACACGCGTTTCTTGCTTTCCGTGCGTTGCCTCACAAGCCTAATATTGCTTGGAATGCCATACTCCGAGGTCTGGTTGGTGTTGGTCATTTCACTCACGCCATTCACTTCTATCACTCCATGCTCCAACATGGGGTGACACCTGATAATTACACGTACCCTCTTGTGCTTAAAGCTTGTTCTTGCTTGCATGCACTTGAATTGGGAAGATCGGTTTATGGGACCATCTTATACAATGAGTTGCACCGTAAAGTAAAGGCTAATCTTCATGTTCAGTGTGCTGTGATTGATATGTTTGCAAAGTGTGGCAGCTTAGATGAAGCACGTAGTTTGTTTGAAGAAATGCCAGCAAGAGACTTAGCTTCATGGAGTGCCATGATATGTGGGACAATTTGGAATGGTGAGTGGGTTGGAGCGCTTTTACTGTTCAGAAAGATGAGATCAGAAGGTATGAAGCCTGATTCGGTGATTGTAGCGTCTGTGTTACCGGTATGTGGTAGATTGGAGGCTGTGAAATTGGGGATGACGTTGCAAGGTTGTGCAGTGAGAAGCGGCTTTGAAAATGATTTGTATGTCTCCAACGCTGTGATAGACATGTACTGTAAATGTGGTGATCCACTTGAGGCCCATCGTGGGTTTAGTCATATGGGTTATAGGGATGTAGTTTCTTGGAGTACCTTGATTACTGGTTACTCACAGAATCGCCTATACCAAGAAAGTTATAAACTGTATATTGAAATGGTAAATGTGGGTTTAGCAACAAATGCGATTGTTGCCACAAGTGCTCTTCCTGCTTTGGGAAAACTCAAGTTGTTGAAACAAGGGAAGGAGATGCACAACTTTGTTCTTAAAGAAGGACTTGTATCTGATGTTGTTGTAGGAAGTGCATTGATTGATATGTACGCTAATTGTGGGTCTATACAGGAAGCCGAGTCAATATTTGAAGGCGTGTCAGATAGAGATATCATGGTATGGAATTCAATGATAGTAGGGTATAATTTAGTTGGTGACTATGAGTCAGCATTTCTTACCTTTAGAAGAATTTGGGGAGCTGAACATAGGCCAAATTCCATTACTTTAGTAAGTGTCCTTCCTATATGCACCCAATTGGGAGCTCTTAGACAGGGAAAGGAAATCCATGGTTATGCGACCAGGAGTGGTCTAGGATTAAATGTTTCTGTGGGAAACTCTCTAATTGACATGTACAGCAAATGCGGATTTCTAGAACTTGGAATGAAGGTCTTTAACCAGATGATGGTGAGGAACGTCATAACATACAACAGTATAATCTCTGCCTGTGAAGTTCATGGCCTAGGTGAAAAGGGTTCGGCATTTTATGAACAAATGCAGGAGGAAGGAATTAGACCAAACAAAGTCACTTTTATTTCACTGTTATCTGCATGTAGTCATGCAGGTCTCCTTGACAGAGGTTGGTTGGTGTATAATTCTATGATTAATGATCATGGAATTGAGCCAGACAGTGAGCACTACTCGTGCATGGTCGATCTCCTTGGTAGAGCAGGAGATCTTGATGGTGCATACAAGTTTATCACAAGCATGCCTCTGCCACCAGATGCCAATGTCTTGGGGAGCTTAATAGGTGCTTGTCGACTTAACAACAAAGTGGAACTGGCCGAGATTCTTGCAGATCGTTTTTTCCAATTGAATTCTGATGATCCAGGCCACTATGTTCTTATATCAAATTTATATGCATCTGGGAAGCGATGGGATGATATGTCAAAGGTGAGAAGCATGATGAAAGATAAAGGGATGGAGAAAAAACCAGGAAGTAGCTGGATTCAGGTGGGCCATTGCATATACATTTTCCATGCTACGAGTGCCTTTCATCCAGCATTTGTACAAATTGAGGAAACTTTGAATAGGTTATTGGTCGTCATGAAAAGTGAAGATTGTAAACCAAGTGTTAATGATAAATTTTAACGTAAGATGAGAATATGATTTGCTCGAATATTGCCATTGAATACTTATAGTATTAAGTGATAGAATCTTTAGTGATTCAAAATTGGTTAAATAATCAATATGATTAAATGTTGCCTTCAACCTAAGAACTTTCTCATCAAAATTCCAATTAGCTAAATGCGTTCCTCTAAAAAGTCCCAATAAACTCATTCCTCGGTCACATTTGAGTGTCTCGAACGGTGTGTAAATGGTAATGCAAATACACTCTAAGCAATGGGTTAATTGCAATTTTTTAATATGGATATTATGCTTAATGCTTAATATATCATACTAGTTCTGACGATGTTGAAAAAAGAAGAGAGACCAGCACATGTTTTAATGTTTAACAGAAGTTTATTACAAGGGGTTTGGTTTCTTCCTTTTTCTTTTTATCCCATGTCATCGTATACTTTTGAAGGCCGTGGATGTGGCAAGCCAATAGGCCCAACGTGATCATTAGGAACGTGGTCAAGTCATTATCAGAACTGAGCAAGTCTTTCAATACCTGTGTATGCATAGCATAATAAGTAATTAAATTTGATTGATTTTGGATAAGGACTATCGAAAAAGAAAAAGAAGTGATTGTAAAACTCAATGACAATGTATTGATGTCAGTGAATGAAAATACTGTGTTGTTATTAGACACCTTAATTAAGTTGAATGATTCTTACAAAGTAACGTTGGATGATAACTAAGAAAGATACTCTTATACCCTTCCGATGGCTATTTCCATCAGTGCTGCAAAGCAACAAAGTGTCCAACTGTGAAGTCAGTGTCTTGTTGCTGAAAATCATTATCAGATTCCACAATCTTTCTGTGAAACGACTTTTTCTAGCAATTGTCTTTGCCATGCTAATTTTTATCTGTTTTTTTTTTTCTCTCTCTCTTGGGGTACAAATTAATGACTAGTAGCGAGGGGAAACCTGATTTAATGCTTGCTTTGTTGCGTGTTCAGCTTGTCCACTAAGATATGAATTCTCGGGGAGTGAGGCCAATAGAGTAGTTAACTGGGAAGAAGCAGGGTTTTCATTCAGGTTGGAAGCTGTGCTAGTTGCAGGAGGGATTTGTGTAGAAGGATTTCCAACCATTGGAATGAAAGATGCATGAGAAATGGGCATGATTGGCACTTGGGTGGGGAAAGGAAACATTTGAACTCTGTTGTCAGTGATTGCAGGCAAAGGTGTCATAGGGAACTGAGGCAGACAGCAAGGGATGGTTGTGCCTGGCCTGAACCCCATCATTAACTGCTGTAAATGGGGACTGTTGACAATGTGATGATCAGCATTAGGTAACATCTGAAAAGGCATGCAAAACCCACTACCCATTGACATAATCTGCATCATATCGCTAAGCTTAAGACATCCACATATATGACTGTTTCTTTAACACAAGGCCTAAAACCAACTTGATAGAGGAAAAGGACATAGAAGGTACCTGTAACTGAAGCTTGAGGGTCTTAAGATATTCAATAGCATCATCAAGCATTGAAGCTTTGTCCGTCTAAGTAACATACATACAACACACAGAAGTGTATATATGGAATTAAAACAAACACAATTATCAGAAAAGGAGAGGAGGGAAATTATATGTATCCAAAGTTCAAACCTTATTACAATTCGGTATCAGCTCCTTCAATATATGCATCCTCTTATTGATCTTATCTCTTCGTTTCTGCAAACATCCAAAACAATAAGATGTTATTATTTAATCTAATAATCTCCAAGCTCATAATTTCTTAAACCGTTTCTCCTAATCTCCTACATGTCCCGCACCCTTTCACATAAATTATGAACTTCTGTATTCCTACTTCTCTTCACTCTGGCGGCTTCCTTAGCAGGCTTTTCCTTCACTACATCTTCTGGTTCTTCATCATTCTGCACCAAGTTAATCAAGACTCCTGAGAAATAATAATAATAATAACCATGCTATGCTTACTAAGAAGATGAAAACTAGTACGGTTCCACTTACATCACTCATATACGCTGAGTCATCGATGTAATCATGTTTCCTGCTACAAACGTTTCTGTTATTTGAGTCTCCAAGTGAGCATAGGGAAGAGGATTCTAACAAGGCTTCATCACAGTACTTAGTATCAGCTGTTCCCTTTCCTTTAACTCCTACTGAGCTTGAGGTTTGGTTACAATATTGACCACGAGATTCGCGAGTACTGAGAGCACTATTATGACCAACAGCTTCAGATTGCTCATCAGGAAGAAGGTTTGATGCATAAAAAATCAAAGGGTTTTTGCTTCCTTCTGATCCATTAGACGAGTTTATCACCGAGCTTCCCTCTGTTGCAAGATGAGAAGAACTTCGACGAGAATTTGGTTGTGAATTGTCCAGAGGAGAGTTCTTTTGAACGGGAAAGTCCATGACAGAGTACAGTGAACTCACCCTTCTACTTTTTGCATTGAAGGCACCGTCATCATTTCCTTTAATGGAATACCCCTCAGACTGCTGCACGTGAAGTTGACCATTTTCCCATACAAGTTCAAGGGAACCTTTACCATAACTGGAACAAAGTCACACACTTCAGCCATAAACCAAAAAGAAGAAAAAAGATAGAAACGTGCATGAATATAATAAGAGAATAAAATCCAAAGTGCAAACTTACATAGAATCTAGATAAGAAGAGCTTATACTCATCCCTGGCCGGGTGGAATCAGGCATAATAATTATATTATCTTAGCGAATAATAATTGTTACCACAACAATTTGTATTAGATCATAAGAAAAGTATATGATACAATTATGAAGAATAGTAGCATTGAAATGGAGAAAGGTTGGAAGCAATGAATAAATAATAATCATCTCTGTCATATATTATGGGAGTTAGATGGCAATAGATGAGATAGGGAAATATTTGTCGTGAAATTGGGAATCTCAATCAATGGATTAAGAACAACCCAACAGAAACTTTATTAGTATATGAATTTTTTTTTTTTTATCACTCGTATGTTTCCCAATTTGATAATCCTCGTACTAGTTCACATTTATTTACATTAGATGCTTTTAACTTAACCAGATAAATGCCGTTAACTAATTTTTCTTCACCTACCTTTTATTATTAATTAAAATTCATATAACTATGTGATTTTCACTTTTTATTTAATTTGACTGTTTTCATAACTTTATAATATCTGAATTTCGTTTTTTTCTAAAAATAACTGAAATTATTGTTTTCAACGTATAAATATTAAGATTAAATTTGATAAATTGAATACATATGATGAAAAATATTTCGATGAAATCTTACATCCACTACTCGATTTTGTAAAATTGAATTACGAACATATTTAATTCAATTTTTTATTTTCATAAAATAATTGTGAAAAGTAAACATATAGTTACTTAGCATTTTTGAATTAAGGAAAAACTGCACTCGTATATATTTAACGTCATGATAAAGAATACTATTTTTTTCTTCCGAATTTAAAATAAACACACATTTTTATCCCGCTAATTTTTTAATAGACATTTTTTAATAAATTGATATTTATCTCCCTTATTTTATTTAAAATTAACACATTTAAAAAAATTTAAACAAAAATTATGGAAAACAAAAATTAAAGTTTTAAACAAAAAGTTATATGATTTAATTTTAAATCAAACTCTAATTTTAAAATACATTTTCATCTCCATCATGTCGTATTTCTTATTTCAATTTATATTTATATTTGTATTAAAATGATATATAAATACAATAATAATTAAATCAAATCTTTTATAGTTATTTATTTGTTTTATATTAATAATATTCTTTCTAAAAATAAAATATTTTTTTATAAGACTATTTATATAGTCTACTAATAGTATAGTTTTTATTATACTTTTGACATTATTATTTTTATAGAAAATAACAAAATAGTTTTTTATGATATTTTAATATGTAATATTTTGAATCATCTAATTTTTTATAAAAGTTTATGTATTTTTAATATTAAAAAAATTTAATTTTAATTTTTTACAGTTTTTATTTAAGTTTTAGTTAATATGATATTTTAAATAAAACAAGAGATTTTATTAAATATAAGGAAAGTAAGTGATATTTATTGAAAATATAAAGAAATATCTAAATACAGGAAAAGGTTTATTTTAAAACTAAAGAGTAGGTATGAATGTCATTTGAAAGAAAAGTATAATTTTTGTATAAATTAAAGTCCATTGGCGACGCTTTAAATTTATCAAGTAAATAAGGGTTGCAATATTTAAAAAAAAAATTAACCAATTTGTCTAATGAGTTGAAAAAATCACGTGGAAAAAAATGTTAAATATGTTTTTAGCGTTTATACGTGAAATTAAAAATAGTCCTTATGTTCTAATTCACATAAAAATATCCCTATATTTTTAAAATGATTGAAATAAGTTTTTATCTTAAACCGAAGTTAAGTATATACTTGACCTGTCTAATGATATGACTCATTCATTATTTAACAGGTGTAATTATTTTTAAAAAATAAAATTAAAAGGTGTCAAACTTTTAAAATTTATTTAAATCCGCATTTATAACATTTAAAAGTCATTTAAAAAGAAATTTAAACTCCTCTATCATTTATAAGTCATTTAAATTTTTCTATCTTAATTTTCGGAAATGAAAGGTATACCACCGTCGTACACTGTCATTGTGCACCACTGTCGTACACTATCATTGTGCACCAGTCGAACCACAATAAACTGATGGAACCTTTGAATTTCAAGATCACTTTGACTTCATACATCCTTTACAGATAAAGGGGAAGAAAGAAAAGATATTTGATGTGTGACGAATAAAAAAAAAAAGAAAACGAAAAGTAGTTGCGACAAAAAAAAAATGAAGAGTGGTTATAACTAGAGCTGAAGAGTTTTGATGGTGAGGAAAAAATAAAAACTTATACTTTTTAATTTTTTTTAAATAATAATATCTGTTAAATAATTTCTATTTTTTTTAAAGAAAAATTTTATTTTTTTTTAATAATTATATGTGTGAGTTATATTATCTCTCTTACACATATAACCATATATTTATAGAAATTATTTGAAGGAGGATATATTCCAATCGTTTGAAAAATATACAGATTATTTGTATGGATATTTTGAAGGATGGACTATTTAAAAAAGAGACTTTTTTTTCTTATTTTTTATCTCTTTTTTTTCATTATTCTATTATCTATTCTTCTATTTTTGAGTTTTCTTTTTTTCCACGGTACTGCGAATAAAAATATACTTACATATATAAAAAAAAACTTTATGAAATATTATCATTGCTTATGAAAAGAGAGTGATGATTAGAAGTGAGAAGAAGAAATGTGTCGGGTGACAGAGTCTCTCACGTGGTAATGACACTCTATTCACGTGTCCCAACATCTTCTTGTCTCCACTTTTTTATGTTTGGGACCCTCACTCACTCCCTCCTACCATCTAAAACATAGTGTTCAAAGACTTTTAGAAATTTTTTATTTATATTCATTTATAATCTCTTAAAATTTATGATTGCATTCACTACTCTGTTTTTTTTTTTAAGTTAGGATTTAACTTAATACAAAACTAGATGAATTTGGAATGGGTGTGTGGGAAGGACTAAGAAAGGACACTCTCCCACTTTCTCTTAACCATAATTCCCCCACAAACAATTTATTTTTTAATCTATATTTTTCTTTTTTTCAAAGTTGAATGATGTTATTGATAAATAAATAAATAATACTTAAGTTTATTTTATTTTAAATGTATTATTGTATATTATTATTAAAATATATATGAATTGAATTGTATTTTATGCTAAAAATTATTTATAAAAAAAATATACATGAAAATATAAATTTAATATGGATGGAATTAATTGATCATGTTTAAAATTTATAATCTAATTAAATTGATTTTATTTTTTTAAATTTAGAATAATTTTGATTTTAAATTATATTAAATTTATATTTGTTCAATAAATAAATTTAGATAGAATTCATTTCTAATCTAATTTAATTTAATCGAATTTGATTAAATTTGAATAGTTTGATTTAACTTAATTTAGTTTAATGATTTAACTCAATCTTGAATAATCTAATTCAATCCACATGACCTAAATTAATCTAAATTTGTCTTATTATACTTAATTTAAGATGAATGACATTAATCTAATTTAATATAGGTGTGATCCAGTATAAATTAGTTTGACTTAATTTAATCAAATATTTTGACCTAATCCAACTCAATCAACAAAATTTTATATAATCTAATTTAATTTGATTTAATCTTGATTTTACTTAACCCAACACAATTTGATCTAACTTAACTCCACTTGACCAAACCTAACTTAATCACGTTAGGTCTATCTAATGTAAATTAACTCAACTTAAATTGATTAAATCAATCTAACTTGACCTTCATCTATCTACTTAATTTAAGTTCGTTCAAATTCAATATAAACTTATCGTATTCACATGATTATTTTATTTTAAATTTAAAAAATCTAAAAGATAATTCAATATAAATAAAATTAATTAGATTGGAGTTAAAATTTAAATTTAAGATGAATCCAATTAAATAAATTTTGAATGGATTATATTTACATATAAAAATGGATTATTCTTGTAACTCTCATTATTTTGTTGAAATGAAAACATGACATGTCTTTATTATAATCATGATTATCAAAATTGGATCAGATTGGGCGGTTCAACTGGTTGAACTATAAATAAGTGTGATAACCGTTCCGAAGCTCCCTATAAATCAGATAAATAATAAATCAATAAAAAATTGGAAAAAACGATGAAATTGAAAGGGTTAAGGGGTCACTCGTTTTTTTTTTAAATCTAAATGACATCATTTTTTTTTTTAGTTTAACATAGAAACATAAAACACATGAAAAGAAAAAAGTTTTTTTTTGTATTGATGATGACATTCTTCTTTTACTATATTATTTGTTCTTATAACTATTATCGTCACTACTATCCACTACCTTTAATTATTTCCTTTCGGCTTCGTTCTTGCTATCGTCATTATCTACTATTATCTTCACTACAATTATTTATGAAAATACAATACATGTAAGAATCACAATCTCTTAATTTTAAAAATCAATTTGATGAGTGAATAATGAGTTGTTCTTGAGTTTTATAACATAGCTTGAAATAAAATAAAATATATAAAATTTGAAATTAGATACAATGGAAGATATGATACAATTTTTTTCTTAATTATTTTCAAGTTAGACATAGTTTTTCCCCTAATTATTTTTATGTTAGTGTTAGTTTTTTTCCTCTAATTATTTTCAAGTTAAATACAGAAATAATTTCTTTTTCTAATTACTCTGTACTTAAAGTGTTTGATGACATGTTTATTCTTATTATTTTTTTATATATTTTATTATATTATACTTTTTCAAATTATATTTATATTTGATTGGAATTGTTATTATTTTGTTATTTTAAGTTTAATATATTATTATATTATTAAAAAATATTATTATATTAAATCCGATTTAATTTCTTATTAAACCCTAGTTAAATCTTTCAACATTAAACTCATTTACCGTTTTGATAACCAAACCATAATTGTAATCACGGTCTAAAAATCAAGATGTTCCCCTTGAAATACAATGAAATTTAATGATAGAATAAATGGATTCACGTGGTCTAAATTAAAAAAAATTAGAAATCTTTTATTTAAATTTAAAATATTTTTCATAATAAAGTATTTATATTTAAAATAAATAACACTTAACGTAATTTAATTTTATAGTTCAAAATTCAAAATATTACCATAATAAATAATATGAATAATATTTTTTTATAACAGCACATATTCATAAAAAAAATAATTTAACTCTGAAATATTTTGAATATATATATATATATATATATATATATATATATATATATATATATATATATATATATATATATATATATATATATATATATATATATATATAAGGGTTCTCCGAATTTGTAGAACCTATTAGAATCGACATAAGTGGGTATCAGGTGGATTACATCTACCCAGATCGGTCGAAGAATCAACTCTGTTGATATGGCCTTTACAACACTAATTGAAATGCAATGAGAATTTGCATTAATGCACTTATTTATGAAGAACGAACAATAGTGTATATATTGATGCATTAGAATTAATAAGTAGTTACTAGGTCAAAATAGTTGTGAAATTAGTCTCTCCTTAAATAAATTCTTAAATCTCTTAATTTATGATTTTTTTTGTTATCCAAAAATATCCATATATCTAGCATTAACTTGGTAAACCATCATTGCTTGTTTGGTAGTTGAATTCATTATTTGAATCCAATAATAAGAAAGAAATTTTTTTGCTTAGGAACAATTTTCGTACTTTTAAGACCCCCAGTATATAGATTTATCATATTTAGAAGCTTTTTTTAAAGGAGAGGTTTCGTGACATCAATTTATAAATAAGCAAAAATAAAACCTTTTTATCATTATATTATTGCAAATTATTATTATTATTATTATTATTATTATTATTATTATAGTTTTTATTTTTGTAATGTGATTATTAAGAAAGTGCAATAATAATGAAAATATACAATTTATTTTCAAAAAAATTATTCATGAAAATCATATTAGAAATGATCGAGTCATTGAGGTTTTAAGGTGACAATTATTGAGCCTTTGTAACGACCATATAATATATTTTGTTTAAATCATATTCCATGGTAAGGATAAAATTCTTGTGCTTTATTTGAAAAATTATAAATTAATTATAATTGTTATATTATTATTGATTGCATGATTGCATGTTGAATTTTTACACAAAAGACCTACAATTTAAAAAATAACATTGAAATTTTTTAAAAGTAAAATTTAAATGTAAAATAATGTACTCCACGTCATTTTTTCTCAGCTTAGAAAAATATATCTTTCATTATTTTTCGTACAGCTATGATTATTTCTTCTCTCATCACCTCACTCAAATAAAGATAACTCTTACTGAATCATAACATAAAAGAAATATATATATATATATATAAAACTCTACAAAATATTTCTCTATCTTTTTGTTTCTTTGACTGTTTTCCATTAACCAACCATGCCACATAGCTCAAACATGCATTTGAAATTTCAGTTGGAAAATGAGAAAGGGAAAAAATAACAATCTCAATGACATTTGTGGATGCTTTTTATCCCGCAAATCACGCACAATAGAGCCAGTATTTGAGTTTGATTAAAAGAATTTTTAAGTGATATTACTTGAACTCAGCCAAATTATCTATTCTATGCAGTTAAAAGAAGAGGGAGGGGTCATAATATTACGTACATAGAAATCTTTGACGATTCCAGTCTTAAGGATGTACCAAAATCACAAGGCGCGCTTCCTTCAGAGCAAACTTCCTAACTTGCAGGTAATCAGCACAAATCATATCAATTTAGTATTTCTTCTTTCAAGCACATAGCTACAACTTGCTTCAGTTGTAGAAGTTTTCCTCTTGCCTTCTGCATCCATTTAAAAGGATGGTTACCAATGTTGAAAACAAATGACAATGAATAGGGAAAAGGAAAATCTAAACAGAACCACTAATGGCAGCTGAACCAGCAAATTATCACGTTCACATCCTAAATTCAATGAACGCTGCAAGGGAATAAAAAGAGACTATGGTGCCAACAAAACTTAATGTTCGAATTTTATTTTTCTTTACGGGTTCTATCCTGCCTCTCCATCCATTTTTTCTCTACAGCTAAAATCAAAATCATTCATCATATTATCTCCTCATTAATTGCTACGTAATGATCAATGAAAAGCTAAGATGGCTGCATGGTGATTTGGCTGGTGAGGATCTCTGCCCAACAAGCATAATCCAAATGGTTGGCAATCCTGCATTTGCAGGCTTCAATTACCGTAGTTTAGCAGACAATAATTCAAGCCAAAATTCTTATCAATCTCTTATTATCTCTCCCATCTCCCTTTTTTACGCCATTTTCTTCCTAATTTTAACCCTTTTTTCATCACATGCATCCATCGTATTTGTCATTTTCTCTCTCGTCTCTCTCTACCTTTTTTTCTCTCTCATCTCTCTCTACTTTTAACATCTTCACTACATTTTTAGGGGGATAAATATCATTATTCGTAATTCAAGTATAATTTAACGAAATAGTATGTTGCAGTGTATCATAACACTAGCAATTAGAGAATCAAGCGATTGATTGATGGCTAACCACCAATCTATTCATATAAAATCATGAGAAAATCAAAACCTAGCGCCAATGCATGTAGCAACTACATGTAACAAATACTTGCCTCCTGGGTGACTCTGATTTTCCTTTGAGCATCATCAAGTTGGATCCGCATTGCTTCTTCAACTTGCGACAGAAGCTTCTTATGTGCTACTCCTACATACAAAATATATTCAAAAAAGGCCACAACCAACATGATACTTCTCAATAATACAAATAATGTTCTTTCTTTTCTTAGCAAGGGACTAGATCTAAGAGCTCTACCGAGCTTCACTCCCTTATCTAGCTAACCACCAAGTGGTTGCCAATCAAACAGCTTTATAATAGTCATAGATATAATTGTCCACGAATTTTGTTGCATACTACATTGAGACCCATTCCATTAAAAATGAAAGAACTTGCGACGCTACTACAGTGACACTATCTTCGCGTAATTAAACTTAAAACAAAATGATTAACAGAAATGATACAGAAGACGACATAAATATTTCAAACTGCATCATGGCTCTGGCGATTTGAAAGGTTATACCTTTATTTTCTCAAAAGGGGGGAGGAAAAACAAAAGAACTGTTCTTCTCCCTGATATGACTCCCATCTCTAATAAACACCATTTTGTTACTCTTTTTCTAATATATATATATATATATATATATATATATGCGAGCCTTGAGTTTATACTGATAGATGTATTGCTCTTAAAAACCAAAGGACGTATCTATATCCAAAAGACGTCTTTTGCATATTTGGATTAGATTAATTTGTTGGAAAAACTGCCTTTAAAAAAACAACTATTAAATTTTAATTATAAGTTATTTTAAACAAAAAATAAGGTAATACAAATACTATGTGTACATACTTTGCTTTTCCATGGCTCTCTTGATCTCTATCTGATCTGCTTCAAGATCTTCAACAGTGCTTCTGCAATCCTGTAGATGCTGATTAACCTCTTCCTTGAATCTACTGTATATTAACCTCAACTGTTTCTGCTGGTCTGCGTTTTTGTTAGAGGAAGAGAAGGTTAAAGAAGGTACGAAGAAAGGAGGAGAAAACATCTCCGAACAAAGTCATGCACTAACAAAATCATATGACAAAAAAAAGCCGCTGAAAAAAGAAAATATGAGGAAAACAATGAATATAACATTCAGAGGTAATGTGAAGTACATATATAGTCATTTATAGAAAATATACGTGCAAGATATAGGGCAAGGACGCTTTCAGTAGAACCATACCGGTCCTTTGTCTTTAATTAAAAACTGGTATTTATTTTTGGTTTCTCAATCGTTACTAGTTAGTAGGACTTTTATGTGTAAATCCATATGAGGTTTTTTATGTACATTATTTCTTTTTTCCTAATTTCAAGTCACTGTATTCTGCTTTTTAGTCAGTGATGGATGAAAAGAGAAAATTGAATAATATAAGAAAAAAAAAGATTTATAACCTAAAATTTTAAGACTTTAGTTAATGTTAATTTTTGACGTGGTTTAAACTCATATGTCTTATTGGTATTGACAGTGGTTATCGAAAGTCTTCCTGATGTACTAATATAAAGGGATTCACATTTGAAGGAGAGATGGTTGGAAAATCCAAGTGAATCTAATGTCTTAAGATTTTGGGTAAAAGATGATATCAATATCTTGTGTTTGATTGATGTTATCTCTCTTCCTGTAACCCATCAAGTGTCATGTAATGCTTTGGTATATTATTAGGTTATGTAATTTTGAGGTGAAAGTAGTAACACCATATTTAATTGCTCTGTTTTCCTAATTTTATGTATTTATATTTGAAACAATAATTTCTGCAGTTGAATGAAAAATAGTTTCACACGTTCTAAACTACTCGTGTCAACAAGGAGCCATAATAAATATATTTACTAGTTAAAAAAGACATTTGATTCGTCTTGGATAATTAATTAGGGGGGTTTCTAAGCCATGAAGAGTATTTCATAAAATTTTCAAATATTAATTACAAATGATTCATGGAGTCACAAACCTTATTGCTGGAGCTGGAACTCTCTCCTTAGAAAAAACTCTAGAAGGTTTCGAAACTTGAACTTAAAGGGTAAACATGAAAAATAGAAAGGGAAGCGAGATGCTCTGATGTACATGGTATGGTGATATTCAAAATATTTATGTCTATATCACTTTAATTATTTTTATAAGACTCCATTTATTTAATGTCTATCAAGAGAGATAAACACAAAACTTGCACATGACACAAAAGTTGAACACCTGAGATCCATTCCTAGGAGAAAATGTGTATAGTAATTATAATAGTAAAACTAAAATATAAATATATTAAACATTGAACTAGAAAGTTTGTTACCTTCAAATCTAGTGTCCAGCCGTTTTCTCTTTGATTTACTGAAATTTGTAAGCTTTCCCCTGAAACATTTTTTCAAGAAAACACAGAAGTGTGAGAGATCGGAAGCCTAAGAATTCATCAGTCGAATATACCTACATATCTGTCTGGATCTGGGAATGAACATTCTGCAGCTGCAGGTGTATTTCTTCCGCAACAGACTTCAAAATTTCTGAGGATTTCTGACTTGTCATTGACTTAAGTTTGCTCTGAAGTTTGCCCAATTCCAACGCCAACAGTTCAACAGCTCTATCAAATTGACAAGAATCGTACAATTAAAAGATTATGTAAACATGAGTTGCAATTTATGTTGTTCTCGGGGACTCTTTAATCAGTTTGTGGTAGAAAAAAGATAAAACACCTTACAAACCCATCTTGATTCTGCTCAGAAGCTTCATCAATCCAATCAATGTCTCCTGTCCCTAATTATTTGTGTAAAGTATATTATAAAAATGCATATATCTTCATAGCTATTTTGATATATACATCAAGTACAAAGAAAATTTACTGCCTTTTGAAGACACTGAAGCTGGGCTCCTATCGTTAAATTTACTGCCTTCGTGCTTGCACAGCCTTTTAATAGGATGAAGAGCAAAATTTTTCCTCTCTGAAGCACGTTTTACGCTTGAACCTTCACTAACAAAATTTAGATACAAATAAGAAAATGGATCTGCTTCAAAAGAACACAACAGTATAGAAGGGAGGAAAAACATACAATTTATGATTACAGTTTGTGCAACTGGAGTACAACCAGAACATGCATCAGATAACTAATACAGGGATTTTAGAGGGCAGGTAATGTGACATTCCACTAACAATTATATGTGATGCATTCCAATTATTTATCACATATCAAGTTCAATGAATTTGTTTCATTCCTCATAACTGTTATCAATCTACTGGAAGAGCCACACAACTATCATTCAGTACCAGTGGATCCCACTCCCTATCAGATTTTCATTTAATGCCAATTGATAGTAACATAAGTGGTCCAATAGATACATAAGTCACATCCCCAAAACTGAGATAACTTATATGAGACTCTTCCCGATACCCTCTCTTAACAGATGGCAAACAAACTAGACGAGCCTACAAGAATAGAAAAGACTAAGAAGAACTATTAGTTCTAATACTATGTCAGATTCAATTTAATACCAAATGACAATAAGCAAAATGCCAAACAAATATATAATTCGCATCGCGAGTATTAAGGCAAAAAATGTGGGATTTTCACCCCTCCTCCTTATCTTTTTGCTTTGGTTTGGAAGATGATCCTTGCCAAATAAGAACTAAACAGGTGTAAGAACCTAACATGACCAGTGGACATAGAAGTTCACTCGAACACTGTATAAGGAACAGTAAATTGTCGAAATAGTCTAATAGAGCACATATCAGTCTCCGATCAGAGGTTATGAAGGACTAGGTACATGCTATACACGGTAAAGAACTCGGGATATTACCAAAATTTATAATTTTTTCCAAGTGAGAATTTTTCATAGCATTCTTTGCAATTAGCTGCCCTATTTGTAGGGATCATCTATTTTTTCTTTATTATGTTTTCTACCAATCGAGTAATTTCTATGCAATTGCATATATTAAGTACCAACCATGTAGGAATCTTTTACTTCTTTGGTGTTTTTCCTATGAAAACACATTTACTACTAAAACTAGTGATTAGGAATCTAGAAGAAAATATCCATGGAAACAGGAGAATGCATTTTCGTTATTTCCAGTGGCCTTAAATAAGTATAAATTACAGAAGGATTATTTTAGTTTCTGTGGCCAATGTGTGCTTAATCCAATTTGGCTTAGTTTTAAGATGGTTTATACTAAAATCAGTCCTTTGAAAAGAAGTACTACTAATTCTGCAAGATCTCCTGCAAATTTAATTAGGAATATGCAAGAGATTAATGTATATAACATTATTTAATGAAACAAAAACCTTCATGATATCCTTGAAAGTTTAATTCTTCAGAAGATGAATCAGATAAACCACCCTGCTCTTTTTTCTCCGTCTCAGAAGATTTGTCTTTTCTGGGTATAAAAGACTTGAGCTCTTCAAGATCCTGAAATCTAATAAGGAATGGCAAAACACAGAAAAACTACATATCCAGTTCAGTTCTAAAACGCTCAAAATTATCAAGTTGAGTCCTTTGGTGTGATAAGGATACAGAAGGTTGCTTTTCTTCTCCTAGCCTATTGAGGTCTGGCTCTGAAGCCTGGAGATTTCTTAAACTAGGAATGCTTCCAAGAGAAAATGTTCTTTCAGTTGATGCCGGACTACTAACATCATTTTCCTTTCGGCCTGTATTTGGTGTTGAGCTAGGAGAAAAACTTAAAATCGGTGTCTTAAGTTGAAATGTAGGACTTGGAAAATCATCTTGTGACTTAGCAGCAACATTCTTAATTACTGGATAACTTCTATATTCTTGCTGGTTTCCATTTTCTGAAACCTCAAGTTCTCCATGCTGATCTGTATTTACAATTGGTGGCTGGTAAAATTCTTTTTCTTGGCTTATTTTCTCTGTCTGAGGGCATTTTGTCTGATATTCAGGTACGTAACCAATAAAATCCCCTGATATCTTCCCAAGTGAAAATGTTGTCTGGTCATGCAGTGGTAGATCAGTCTTAGAAGTTTGTTGATGAAGTTTATCTGCGGTGTCATTTTCAACTACGCAGATCTTATTTTTCCCAATTTTGGAATTCTTTCGTTGATTCTTTTTCTTCAAGGAACCATCATTTGGAAAAGCATCTTGCATCCCAATCCGTTTTTCTGCGAAAGAGAATATACGTTTTTCTCCATGCTTCTCCATGGTTTTTGAATATGGGCCACTCCTACCTTTTCCCAGTTGCTTTCTGGAAGACACTTTCTTTCTGCTCCAAGAACGTGTTATTGGCCTCTTAAGAGTGTGATCAGGATTTTCAGAATCAGTTTCTATAGTGTCTGAATTTTGTATGGTTTTAGCAGATTTGTTTTCCTTCTGGTTCAAACGCTGCTCAAGCGGCAAAGTTTCCTCATCCTTGTTACGTGCGGGAGAACCTGAATGCCGACTCTTATGTGAAGAAGTGGTCCCCAATATTTGGCAAAGCTTCATCCTCAAATTCTCGGTTCTGTTTTCTGTTCTATTTATTTTGTCTTCTGCGTCCGTTTTGTCAGACTCGAAGACTTTTTGTGCAGTGGCAAATGTAAATTCCTTTACCTTTTCAGTAGACTTGTCCTTCCTTCCCTTCATTCTGGCAGCGTCCGCATCAAACTTTTTGTAATTATTAGAATTTAAAATTGAAGTCTGATACGAGAAAAGATGAACCGAATGTTTCCCCGCAGCACGGTCAATTCCATTAGGCTCGTCCCCACCACCTGGAGAGACTAATAAACTAGAGGCTTGATTGGCTTGAAGAATGGCCTCAGAAGTAGGTGTTCTTTGGTAAAAGGATTTGGAGATCCAAGAACACTTAAGCTCTCGTGGACCTCCAGAATGCTTTATATTAAAGGAAGGTGTTACTCCTTCAGCTTCGCTTTTTTCTCCGGGGCAATTTCCCACATTAGAGATTACTCTTTCTGTATTTGGCACGACAACCCCGTCCCCTATCGTGACTCCATTTCTTGTGCTACTTTTTGAATCTGCGATGACTCCTACAGAAATTTTCCTTGTCTGGCTGGAGAGACGGATATTGCTGCCAAAACTCCTACAATCACTCGTCTGCTCCTAAATACATAGTTCAAAACCATGAAAATGTTGACCTTTTGTCCCTCAGTAATAGAAACATAACTAAAATTATAATTGGTCCTAGCCAGTAACATCAGACAGGGCTCTGGAAAATAACATACAGGTTATTTATTATTGCCTGATCCTTTTTATAGGAACTTCAAGGGTAGTTTGTCTTTGCTGCTAATTTTATAAAATCTCTTCCTAATTGTCTATTGCGATAATTGCTTTTTTTACAAAACTTCCTCAGAATATGAATAATGAAAATTATACAAATTAATGACAAATTTAATATCACTAACTAAATTGAATTTCTTAATTGTTATGAAGTAGCCAAAAGAGTCTTATGCAGCGAAGAAAACGTAGTATTAACACTGCTAAAAATTCTCAAAAATGCTCAAGTTGCATTTGCATCAGAACAAATGGCAAGCACAAGCTAACATGAGCTATTCACAGTGAACAAACCTAACCTAACGAATCAACTACCCCATGACAATGTTTCAAACTATTACAAATGAATTAACAAAGGAGCACACCAACAGTGACCAAAGTAAGTCAAATCAGAACATTCGCCTAATGGTTGTAACCACTTACATCATGCAAAACCTCACGGGCTTCAATATCCATTTTCAGTTGCTATTTCAGCAAAGCAGAGACCTCATTAACTAACCTGAAAAAGTAACAACCAAAACAAAATAAAATGAAAGCTAAGAAAAGGTCACTAACTAACCTGAAAAAGTACGAATAAAACCAAACAAAATTAATAGAAGAAATCCAAACAAAACCCAGTACAATTGCTCAGAAGATTATAAAAGAAACCCATTGCTCATGAAGCCTCCGTTCAAAGCCAGAATAACGCGAAACATACACAAAATATCCTTATAATCTCAACAGCCAAACAGAGTGAAAATAACAACCTCGCAACCCAAGAAAAAGAAGCATGCAAATAGTTCGAAGGGGGACTAACAACGTGAACAGAAAAATGAAGAAGAAATTCAAAAATTAACCGGAAGCAAACTCAGAATCAGAACTCATGGATCTATTACCTGAGAAAAAAAATCATCCAGAAAGAGAAATTGGAGAATTCGGAATAGGCACGTAGAAACGATCTCAACAATTGAAAGGAGACACAGGCTACAGTGTAAATGTAATCAGAATCAAAACAATGTTGAAGAAGCAACGGATTAGAGATTTGCGCGAAGGAAAAAAAAAACTTACAGCGTAACAGTACTGTGGAGCGAGGAATTGAAAACGTGAATTTGATTAGCTGAAATGGAAAATCAAAACCCAGAGAAAAAGCGGGAAAAGCAGGTGCGAGTTCAACCGCCTCCGAGTTACTCTTGTCAGCAACAGGGTATGCATCCCGCGTGACTTTATTATATAACAATCTTCAGAAAAATTATTATTACTTTTTATCTTATTTCTTTCGAAGTAATTATTCCCTTCATTTTTTTTAATATTTACCATTAAATAAAAAAACTTCGATCCAGATTAAAAACTTATTTAAAAATAGTTATGCTCTTTTAATTTTATAAATTTATCTCACAATTTAGTATTTACCTCTCTCTCTTCTCAGTTTAGAAATAAAAATTTCCTATCTTAAGTCCATTATATTATTTTGGAAATATTATTATTTTCAAATTCTACAAAATACAACTTATAAATATACTAAAATATATAATATTTATATTTTTTTTTTCTCTTTTTGGTGAGATAAAATTCATCGTGTTATAGTAAGTAATGGAAAAAATTTATCATAATTTTAAAAAATTTACTTTATTTTCTTACTTTTCATAAATAATGATTTTCTTACCCATATTTACAATCTTGATCTTTCTTCGTAGTCTCGTCTGTCCTATGATTGTTAACTAACAATTTCAATCTCTTTTGTTGTCTTTTTTCAGAGAGTGTAGTACCAACTAAAAAAACATCAAAGAGTAAGAAACACTACAAAATAAGGAAGAAAAATGTGAAAAACTAAAATAAGAATTAAAACAAAAACGAAAACAATAAAAAAGAAAATGATAAACCATCGTGTGACCATTTATAATAAGGTTTTTAATTTGAATGATGAATTTAAATCTAATGAATGATTAATATTACATCTTCACACTTCTCGCACAAAATCTAAATATAATAAGATGATTTTAGAATGAAATATCTTCACATATAACCTTCATATTTATTATAAAAAAATTACGAAAGATTTATAATAATTTTGTATTAGTTAATTAATCTAATAATCTATTTCTTCTTCTCTCTCAAATCACTTCTTTATCAGCGTCACAAAAGACTATACATTGAAGCTTGAACGATTTCTTATAATACCTATAACAATTAAACAAAAAATAAATAAAAAAGTATATTAAAAAACTTTTATAATTTAGTTTATAAAAAAATGAATTTTTGTGTTTTTTTTAAGTATTTATATAAAGTGAAAAAACTTAATTTGTTTGTACAGAAAACGCAAGCTAAAATTTAGATTGAGAGGCAAACGTGGTTTTTAGAACCAAAGGGCGTTTTTCTTGTCTGTAGCACAGAGTTGAAGATAACGAACAGTGCCGTTACTTCCTCCTTCTCCACTGTGCGCCCGCCATGGCTACCGTCTTCAACGACATCCTATTCGCGCCGAACCAAACCCTTCTCCGCCCCTCCCTCCATTCCCCAACCTCCTTCTTTACCTCACCCCCTCGAAAATTCCCTCGCTCTCGCGCTAACCCTATTTTCCGTTGCTCCATTGCTGAGGGATCCACCGCATCTCTGCCCAAGACCAGAGACTCCGCCCCCGTCGACTGCGTAGTCGTCGGCGGAGGCATCAGCGGCCTCTGCATTGCCCAAGCCCTCTCCACTAAACATGCCAAATCCAACGTTGTTGTGACGGAGGCCCGAGACCGCGTTGGCGGCAACATCACCACGCTGGAGAGGGACGGATATCTTTGGGAAGAAGGTCCCAATAGTTTTCAGCCCTCTGATCCAATGCTCACCATGGTGGTATGTAATGTTTCTTTTACCCAATTGGGAATTGCCCTTAACACAACCTCATGGTGAGAGGGTAATCACGTTGAAATACCTGCTAATGTGATTTGGATCATGTCTAATAAAAAGGGAAATATGAAATAAATTTCTCCATCCTAAAAAAGTAGCTTATGCATAAATAAAAAATTTAATTTTGAAGAAATTTGAAGAAACCGACATAAAAAAAAAACTTGTAGAAATTACCTTATGATGTATAAGTTTGTTTTACTTTGTGGGGATATTTTTTTATTCTCTTATAAATATTTGTGAAGAAATTGATCCAGATATGTCCTAGCTTTAGTATTGGATAAAACAGTGAGCTTTATCACTAACTTGCTTTAATAATAAATAAAATTTAAACATAAATCATTCATGTCAAAATCCATTTTAACCAAAATTAATTTTATAATATCAATATAATTTCAAGTCAAATTTCCCAATGCTCGTTCAAACACATACTCATTGTCTCTGGTTGAATTGTTGTAAACGTCGTTTCTGTTGTTGCGTTTTGTAGGTGGACAGTGGTTTAAAGGATGAGCTTGTTCTGGGGGATCCTAATGCACCTCGGTTTGTGTTGTGGAATGGAAAGTTGAGGCCGGTGCCTGCGAAGCCGACTGATTTGCCTTTCTTTGACTTGATGAGCCTTGGTGGAAAGATCAGAGCTGGCTTTGGTGCGCTTGGAATTCGGCCTCCCCCTCCAGTGTGTCCTCTTTCGTTTCTTTGATTATGTTTGTGCCAAATGCAATGTCCGGAAGGATGAAATGCAAATGTTCTTAATTTGGTTTTCTCATGTAATATAATGTTGACAAAGGTAACAGGGTCATGAGGAATCAGTTGAAGAGTTTGTTCGTCGGAACCTTGGTGATGAGGTTTTTGAACGATTGATAGAGCCTTTTTGTTCAGGTAAGAGCATTGACGTGTTTTCTTTCCTTTTTATTTTTCTTGTTATCCTCTAATAAACCTTCTATTAGTATGTATTGGTAGAGGTTTCTGTATTATTTTTGGACCCAGTGAACTTCGCCATTAAAATGTAACCCATCATGATAGCTGACTAAGAGCAGAATAGAATAAGTTTATTCCTGAAATGATGTTTCTTGTGCATTGTCGTCTTTTGAAAACTGTGAGATTGAAATTTTTCACATGGGGGGATTTTGTCCTAATTTGTTGCTGTATTTCTATGTTAATAGAAAAATAAGTGACCACCTTTGTTCAGTATCTTTCTGATTATTATACAGTGATCCTTTAGTTCACCATTTAAAACTATACTGAATGCGTTATTTTTCTGTTTGGGGATTTTTTGTCGCCAGGATAAAGGGAATAACTTGTCAAGATGCAAGTCCAATATTTTCTAGTTAGTTCAGCACGATTCATAGAATTTGGTGGTTTTGACATATTAAAACACTTAAACATGTTTACCACGTATTAACAAAAGAACTATTTTCTTTCTTCCATTTTTTCCTTTTATAAATGCTATTGAACTATATGTACAAATAATCAAATGGACAAGCACTTACTACAAATCTTATGTAAGTCAGGTGCAATGTCCCATAAAAGATTTGGACTGTTTCTTGTACTATACTTTCTCTTTTACGTAATCAGTGATGAGCTTACCTCATCTTGCATTTCTCTTCCATTCTGATTTTTCTACTATTTTTGTGTAGCAATCTTTGACGAAATCCAGTTTCTTACCTGAATTTTGTTATATACAGGGGTCTATGCAGGTGATCCTTCTAAATTAAGTATGAAAGCAGCATTTGGGAAAGTTTGGAGGCTGGAAAAAAATGGTGGTAGCATTATTGGAGGAACTTTCAAGGCAATACAAGAGAGAAATGGAGCTTCAAAACCACCTCGAGACCCGTAATAATATACCTGTTCCGGAGTTTCTGGTTTTTGCCATAGTTTATGGAGTGTTTCACTAATTCAATTAATCATGTAGGCGTCTGCCAAAACCAAAGGGTCAGACTGTTGGATCTTTTCGGAAGGGGCTTACTATGTTGCCAGATGCTATTTCTGCAAGGTACTAAATGTTGCCTCTTACCAATGTTCTAGTTAATCTCCTCTTATTCTCCAGATTGACGATCCTTGTCAATTGTGATCCTGTTGACAGATTAGGCAACAAAGTAAAGTTATCTTGGAAGCTTTTAAATATTTGTAAACTGGATAGTGGAGATTACAGTTTGACATATGATACACCAGAAGGTGTGGTTTCTTTGCAGTGCAAAACTGTTGTCCTGACCATTCCTTCCCACGTTGCTAGTCCATTGCTGCGTCCTCTGTCAGTAAGTTTCTTCCTCAAAGGGGGATTATATAATTTATTTATGTTAATTGATGACTGTTTTATTTGTGGAATCTTTGAAATTGGGCTATATGACCTGTTGGAATTGTGTGGGAGTGAAAGCAGGCATTTTTTGGTGCTCAATTGCAGATCTTTAGTTTTCTTTGTATGCATGCCTTTGGCTCTTTTCATGTTTAGTGTGTTGTGAGTGGCTCATGCACGTGCATTTGCTTTTGTGCCCAAGGTTGCATATGTCTCTATTTTTATTATCCTCTGAACTTTCTGAGCCATAATTTATTTCGTGTGCAAACACACTCACATAATGTAAAGAAAAGTACAATTAATCCATGATATGCTTTTTCCAGGGCTCAGTTTTTCATTGCATAAGAGTAATCATATTTCCAAAAACCTCTGGGAGGTGTTTGTTTCACGTTTTAAGTGTTTTTAAGGGTTAGTATTTTATATTCTCATGAGAATTAAAGTTATTGTCTACAATAACTTTCTATCGCCTCTACATTCTTCTGCCTTTCTTTTTCAATTTTATTTTCAACTTTTAATTAAATAAATTTTATTTTTTGTCTAAAATTGTTAAATATTAACCAAACATGTCTTTGAAAATAATATTCCTAGGAATGAAAATTATAATGTAAAACAAATGCCTCCTATATTATCATTTGAAAATTTACAAAATATATAATTTTGTGCATTTTTCAATGATTAACAAAGTATCAGTTGGGTATTTTTTGGAATCAATCAAGCTAGATAACAGAAAATTTTCATGATCCAGCATGAGTGTAGGCATTTGCCAGGAACAAACTAGAGCAGCAAATAGTGTTCATGCTGTGGGTACTGCATTAGTGCATGGCTGTGAAATACATTGTTGTCTTTGATGCTGAATAAACCCAGCTCCTCCTATTAAAGTTCCTTGTTTATTTTTGCCTGACTAAATTCAGAAATCCTGTAAACTTTTTTAGGGTTTGGTATCTCAATAATCTATTTCTAAAGCTGGGATTAAGGGCATCATCACATTTCCCGTGACAGGCTTTTACTAAAGTCAAATAAATGCATCTCAACAAAATAGTCAAATAAGTGCTATGATATCCCAATGTAAACTTTGATGGCTGTTATTCCTGACAAACTTTTAATATCCCTTGCAGGCAGCTGCTGCAGATGCACTTTCAAAGTTTTATTATCCTCCAGTTGCTGCAGTTTCTATATCCTATCCAAAAGAAGCTATTAGATCAGAATGCTTGATAGATGGTGAATTGAAGGGGTTTGGTCAGTTGCATCCACGTACCCAAGGAGTGGAGACATTAGGTGAGTATTGATTTTATAAAGCAAAAGTGAAGTCTTTTAACACAATAAATTACAATTGTTTTTAATGATTATTATTCATGTTAAACTAGGGAATGAGGAGTGCAGTCTAGTGTTTTGTCTGGTTTGATGATTATAACTTGTGGGTTTGACAGGAACTATATACAGCTCATCACTTTTCCCCAACCGAGCACCACCTGGAAGGGTTCTACTCTTGAATTACATCGGAGGGGCTACCAATACTGGAATTTTACAAAAGGTGACATTAATATGAAACATGAACAGTTAACATAATAGGAATTGGTTGAGCTGTTTTGGCATTTGATAGGGTGAACAGTAGTTTTCTGGGAAACTTCAAGGACGGTGATGTGGAGAACTGTTAGTCATTTTCACTTGTGGGTTGTTAGGCTGTTTAGAACTACTGTGATCCACTTGCCTTGTTTCAAATGTTTACACTTTTCTGCACAAAATAATGGGTCAGTTTGGTTAAACTATGTGTTTCTGTAGTAAGCAATTTTTTAAAAAATAACTTATTAATGAGCACAGACATACTCATCCAATAAAGTGAGATTTTTCTTTATTATAAACCATAATAGAAAAACAAAACAACGTATAGCTGTTTTAGTTTTTAAATTGTAAAAACATAGTCAAACAATTATTCTATCAATTATTTTTGCTCTTTTCTTTTTGAAAAAAAAAAAAAAATTGGAAGCAAATAGGCCCTAGGCCTCATGATCTACGTCATAATTTCTTGATGATTAGTGGTTCCAAGTTTTAGGCATTATCTGTTATTTGGCTTCAAATGCTTACATTGATATCTATTTTTTACATATCTACATTAACATTTTTGTTATTTGGAACAGTTGCCATTTCTCTACCTGTATAATCAGATTGGTTTCCTTTCTTTTTTTGATGGCAGACGGACAGTGAACTTGTTGAAACAGTTGATCGAGATTTGAGGAAAATCCTTATAAACCCAAATGCCAAGGATCCATTTGTCTTGGGGGTGAGATTGTGGCCTCAAGCTATTCCCCAGTTCTTAATTGGCCATCTTGATCTTCTAGATGTTGCTAAAGGTTCTCTTAGAAATACTGGGTTTGAAGGGCTGTTCCTTGGGGGTAACTATGTGTCTGGTGTTGCCTTGGGACGATGCGTTGAGGGAGCTTATGAGGCAGCAGCTGAAGTAAACGATTATCTCACAAAGAGAGTGTACAAATAGTGGCAATTTTTCTTTTCATGGAATGGGTGGGAACTCTCATGTTCAATTGTATTGTAATAATCACAGTTTCTCAAAATCGTTGGTTAGGTTTTGGTGGCTTATATTGCAGATTATGTAATATCCACTATATTTTGTTCATTATCTACTTAACACGTGTTTAGGAGGTTTGATAGCAATCATTCTCTTATCTCTCCTGTATATGTTGGACTCCCCTTATTTGTTTATGCTTTTCAGGATCATGTGTTAAAAGTATCAATATTATTTTTTTCATCTTCAATCCTCATGATTTTGGAAGAGTTGTTAAATAGATTGACCAAATCTAGGTTGTTCTGCACTATTTCCAACATTATTTATTAAATTTAAATTTAATAAACTAAAATTTATTTTATCATTTATCCTCGATTTTTTCTCTTTAAATATGAGTTTATACTTTTCTTCTTAGATATCTCTAAAAAAAAAATTTATATCAAATAAATAAATTTATTTATGATTCCTTGCTTCAAGAAAAATATTACAGGATATCACATATTTTTTAACTACTTGTCTTTCTTTTTTTAACTACTTGTTTTTCTCCATCATGAACAAATGAGAAAAAAATTGAAATAAAAAAGTTATTATTTTTATACTCCTTTAAAATTAGAGATTGATACTCGAATTATTAAGCTATTATGATTTTTTAATGATAACTTACAAATGAATTATATTTGTAATTATATTTATATACAAGTAAATGTATATTCGTGTAAATATATAAATATAAAATATATAAATACAAATATATTAATATATTTATATATTTTAAATATTTACCGACGAATTCATATGAGTAACTAATTATTAATTTACCGACGGATATATCCGTCGTTAATTAATTGTTAATTTAATTTACCGATAAATATATCCGTTGGTAATTTCCATCGGTAATTACTTGATAATTTTTTTCGGTATCACTCATTTTTTCAACGACTACATATTTGTCGGTAATTAATGATTTTCTTGTAATGTAAAGAGAAAAATTTACAATTTTTATGTTTTGTGGGAAAATCAAGAATGAAAAAATTATGTAAATAAAAAAATGACAAAAAAAGGTTAAAAATATGAAAATAAAAAATAGAGTCTCTAATCTAAGAAAAATTGAAGTAGGAAAGCGGTAAAAAAAAAAGTCTGAAGATAAAAAAAAAAAGAGAAAAGAAAAGTTAAAAATTGTATAAAAGAATAAAAATAATATTTATTATAAGTGAAAAGATAGAAGATGAAAAGATAAAAAAGTTAAATTTTATTAATATTTAAAAAATATTTTTTTATTTAATCATATTATTTATATATATAAGTTTGAGGAGACGTGACCACCAAAACCCTTCGTATATATACATTAAAAAAAGTTGTAATTTTTATTTTTATTCTAAAGAAATACTATCATAACAAAATTTTATTCCATAACAATAAAATAGGTGATATTTAAAAAAAATGGAGAAAACATTTCTAAGAAATAGTTAATAGGTCAATACACAAAATAAATATTTTTGGATAAAGTATCATAATTTTTTATCTTACTACTTTAAATTTCATCAATTATATCTTAAAAAAAGAGAGTTAAAGAACGGAATTATACTGATCAAGTAAAAAAATTATTAAAGACCAATAAACAAAATAAAAATACAAGTAATCATGAATAAAATTAATGAATTTATTAGAGATTTAAAACGTATTTATGTTTATATTATAAGTAACTATGATTGGTAAGATAGGGAAGTAAGTAGATTAAATAAACATGTTTGATTAAAATGCGGGCTTTGAAAGAAGCAAGGGAAAGGGTAAGGATGGTTAGATTTGGCCAACAAAATGTGGAGTTGGAAACGTAGAGTTGATTTAGAGTGGGAACAAGGTTACATGGGAGATGCAAAAGTTGTATTAGAAAAAAAAAAAAAAAAGTTTGAGGAATGAAGGAAAGCGATAATTTGTAAGATATGGGCAATGATGACGGAGAAGGGAAGCAAAGGAATGAAAAGCAAGATGATGGAAGAACGGGAAGGAGAAGGAAAATGGGCGATTCGGTCTTGACATTCCAAGACACATCCAATTGGGCGATTTAAGAAAAAGTTGGTGTGGGTTACACCTTGCTTTTCCAATTCAACACAATCACTGTTTTGGAGACCAAATGACAGATTCATGGCTAATCCAAGCAACCTTGTGGTTGGGATGGTGGGGAACATTTTACTTTTCCCTTTTTCACCCCTTTCAACATTTTCCCATTTATTCATCCCTCTTTACCTACCATTTCCCATATCTTTAGATCCAAGTTACCACCCTCTTTTCTATCTTCTCAGTTATGAGATGTGAGATTCGTAAGAGTAAAGAAGAAATTAATATATTTGAAAAGAATCATGTGATCCCTCAGTATCGGTGCTGTCTTTTCTTTCTCTTTTTGGTTCATTTCTCCAATCACGACACATTGTTAGATCTGTTCACTCCTCATCTCAAAATACTTTTTCTTTTTATGTCAACATTTATTTATTACACCAGAATTATCAAAGTAATTTAACAGTCTCAGTGTTTGGAAAATAAATACACCAGTTTAATAACTTTGGAATCACAAGATACTCTCTCTTTCTACGAAAATAATATAATTATTTGCAGTATCAAAGTATATTGCACAATGAAAATCATTTTTAGAAATGTTATGATTTAGGGTATATATTGCATAAATAAAGCTGATAAAGGGCGAATTGATTGTTTTTTTTTTAAAGCAACAAGGATTTAAAATAAAGTAAAAGTGAATAATGATTATTTGGAAATGAAGGGCTAATAAATTAAACATAAAATTACACTTTTTTAAAGTGTGTTTCCAATTCCAACATGTGTTTGATATTGAGCACGACTTATTCTCTTTTTTCCCTTTTATTTTCCTATGCTGTCAAATCGAGTTGATTGCCAATCCCCAAGACCAGATCTCGAGTTTTTTGCCGTAAAAAAAGAAGAAGAAGAAAAGTCAAAAATATATTCAAACATGTCACGTACTTCACGTTCACGAAGCGATTATAGATGGCCTTTTGTTCTTTCTTGATCTATTTATATCATCGTAAAATTGCTTTTGATATTGATTACCGTGAAAAGCAGTGATGCATAAGAGCAAAACGAAAACCACATGAGCAAGAAATAAATGTAGACGACAACCCTGCATAAATGAAAGAAAATGGTGGTGAAGTTTGTCTAGTGCAGTTAATTCTTGAAAAGGAATGAGAGAACACTTGTAGAAATTTTGTTCTCATATATGTTTTCTTTGGTACGTAGCAGTGTTTGTAGCCTCACTTCACTTGCACCAATGCCTTAATACATTGGAAAATAATACATTTGGTCTCTGAAACCAAGATCCCCACGAGCAACACGAAGATTATATCCATTGAACATTGAGTACGTGGATATTTACATGTTTATACAAGGTTTCAGATATCAACATTAATGTCTTCTTGTCCACCCCAATTTTCATCCCACGAATTGTCCAATATCTAGGTTCATTCCATCCTCCTCAGTACTGAATCAGTGTATTGCGAACCACACGCTTTGTCTAACTATTGTCTCTATAGTAATTGCCAGCAACATCGTCTTATATGGCCACTAATTGAAGTGTTTAAATCATAAAAGTCTTGATGAACTCAATTTTGTGTAAACAACCAACGTGTTATCTCATTTAATATTAACTAACTAACTAATTAGTATGAATATATATATATATATATATATATATATATATATATATATATATATATATATATATATATATATATATATACACTTATGAAGGCTGAATTATTAAACAAAAAACATGTTGACATAGTATAAATACTATGTTATTTTTACTTATTTACACGTGTAGTTGTCGGCTACCATGACAACATTTTAGGTCTACCAATTGCATGGGAGGAAGAAAAAGAAGAGTGGTGGCCAATGGAGGGTGGCGCAGCTGCTGAAAAAGTCTTCTTCAGAGCACTTCTCATGTGTAATCTACCAAAATAGTTCCTTCCACAATGGGCAAAGCCTCTAGTTCTTCTTCCTCTTCTATCACCAGCTGCAGGAACAACCCTTCCAATTCATCTGCATCCTCTCTCACACACCAACATGGTCAAGACCTTCGCACAGATCTTAGGCTTGGACTCAGCATTTCCGCCACTCAACATGTTGGCTCGTCCAGTTCAGGGTTTGTATAATATATGAAAAACATGATTTGTCATCATGAAATGGTACACCCTGGGAAATTTAAGGGTTTTGATACTGATACTAAGAAACTCTCTCTTTCTGTCCCTCATCTGGTATGCTCAAACCCAGTCAAATATTGGCTCAGTATCAAAACTCTTCAGATTTTTAAGGGTACTATATAGCAACTCTCTTTAACGACATCATGGGTTATTTTGTGGCTAGCTTAAAAAGTTGTTCACCCTCTCAAGTATTTTTATCATTCTCGTATTTTAGGGGGCACTGGCAACCGATGCAGCCGCATCTAAACAGTTTTTCCCAAGCTGAAGTGAATGATTGCAGCGATCATACCAGCTTCTTTGTGAAGGTGTACATGGAAGGTATTCCAATTGGTAGAAAACTCAATTTGTTAGCTCATGATGGCTACCACGAGTTAGTAAAGACCCTGGAACAGATGTTTGACACTACCATTCTGTGTAAAGTCTAATGCCATTCTCTCGTAGTTAATTATCTTTACTTTGTGTATGTAGCATCTTTGTCTCCTCGTTAGTAAAATAACAACAAGGGAATGTGGCTGTTTTGAACAGGGGGAACTGAGATGGATGGAGTGCAACCAGAGAGATGCCATGTTCTAACTTATGAAGATGGAGAAGGAGATTTGATCATGGTTGGCGATGTTCCTTGGGAGTAAGTTAACCATGGATTTCTCTTGCAGACACATTTTTCTTTCTTTCTTTCTTTCTTAATTTTTAATAAAGAAGATTACTAGATATAATAAAAGTTAACCTTTACTTTCATATAAAATCTGGTCTACTTTAAGATCAAAATTCTATTTGGTTGATGGAGCATTGATGTACTTGCTTTTTGGTCATGTAGGATGTTCTTATCAGCTGTAAAGAGGTTGAAGATCACAAGGGTCGAGACATTTGGGTGATAAATGCATACATATGACAGAAGATTTTGCCTCTCTCGTGACTTAAATTTAGTCGTTTAGAGTGAGACTCAATATTAGTGGTTGCTTGATCATCAAAGTGATGTATATTCTTAGAGTATGTTTGGATATTGGAAAGGGTTGAGATCATGAGAGCTAGCAAAATCAAAGAGAAGGAAATGGAAAAAATAAAATAAAATCGAGGGGTCAAATAATGTTTTCCCCACCTTTATTCCATTATTTAAATCTTTTCAAATCCTCTAAAACAAGGAGATTTTGAAATAGAAGTGCAAGAAAAGTCATATAATTAAGAATTACTACATTTTTTTATCTTCATCATTTTAAATTCCCAAATGAAAAACAAAAAGAAAACTGAAATGCTTTTTGTCTACGTTTCTACTGCCTTTACCTTATTTCTGGTTTCTAGAAGTCAACTTTTAGCTTTTCTGACTACCGACATAATTTCCCCGGTTGTTAAGACCCATTTCCTCCGCATTCTCACAGAGAAAAATGAATAAACAAACGAAAGAAAAATTGCACAGAAATACATGGTGAGGACAGAAAGCAAAGTTGAAACAGATGATGTGCGAGGAATAAGGAACAATGAAGGGACAGACATAATAGAATGTCGAGCACAATAAAGTAATGTTATACTATCATACATATGCATTGCTGTTTGATTTTGAATTTCTGATTAGTCTATATACACACTTGCTGATTAGATTCGACTTCATTCACACAAATGTTTGGTTTTGATTAGTCTTTATATATATAAATAGTTCCACAAGAATACAAATCAGATTGAGACATGACTACAATTTCATTCGGGAATGGAATGAATTTGATTTGGGCACTTGTCTAATCATTTAATAAATTCTACAGGGACACTTGCAGAATCTGTAGGCACAATTCTCTGGATCTGATATGATCCATGATGATTTGTAGTAGACAGGTTCCAACCTTTGCCCAATGTGGCTTCAGTTGACCCAAATTATTATGACATTTAAATGTTCCTGTCCCACCAAATTCATAAGATATATATATGGCACAATACAAATGGTAAACTACTAAATTATTTGAGTCTTATCAGAAGAAAATATTCAATGGAAAAAATAAATTTTATAGACAGTTCATCAAATTTTCAATATTAACTTAGAACATTTGTTTGTAGTAAAAATACAGAAAAAAAACTCTTAAACAAAATAAGATTGATATTAAAGAAAATAAATTGAATAACAATTTTTTTTAATAGAAAATAAAACCCAATTTCAAAATACTTTGAAAGATAAAAGCATATTTTACAGTTTCTTGATGTACTCGAAGTTCTTCATCAGAGATCTCATCACGATAATTTGCTTGCTATTTGTTTTCCGTGATTCTGAGACACATTAACCGTGTATCTTTTTTAAAATGATCAAAAAATCATCCTCAGATAACGTGCAAAGATTTTATGAAATGACACCACCCTTGTCGTTTCATTTTGATAATTTGTTTATGTTTTTCTTGTCATCATGTGGGGTTCTTTTGGCAACAGCATCTAATAATCAGGGCTAACCGGATCAGAAAAGCAGAACTCAATATTCATCAAGAACTAGGTATATGATGACATTAGCTTTCAGCACATTTTTATTGAATCTTTGGCAGAGAAAAGAACATAGAAGAAAATAATAATTATGGAAACAGTTTAAAATGATTTCTGATATGCACAATCCAAGCTAGGTCCTGTGTCTACGTTAAACAAGGTTGCATATCTTTTGAAGTATCCAATACGATCATTAGCCCTTGAATCATCAGGAATTCCACATTCAAGTCCACCATTGATGATGTTAGTGACTAGGCCATACCCTGCAGTTCGATTAGCTGCTATGTCAGCTTGAGTTGGCACATATTTTCCAATCATCACATTGTGACAAGAAGGTTTTGGCTTTTGCTCTGTCATCCAAAACCATAGAGCTGTTTTAAAGGCAATCAATGAATTGTTTGACACCACATCAGGGTTCCTCAATCCATCAAATCCCAAGGCCTTCCCTGCTGGCCCATAGTTGTAGTTCCTGCACAATATTTTCTCTCAATTCATCAATATGCATTGAAAAATTAATAGCTAATCATCGTAGAACTCTATACTTTAGCCAAAACACATGCACATTATAATCATAAATTGCTATATATAACAAGATGGTTGCATTTCACTCACAAAACAAACTGCATGAGACCTTGGGTTCAAACATTACTACTACAGTACATAGTTTGTGATTGGGTGGCTACATAAAATTATTACTCTATGTACGCAAAGCTTTTATCTTTTTCTTTTCTATAATAATTACTTCCAAAATCATGTCTAGGGTATTTTAATTGGTTAACATAGTAAAACTTTTCACAAGGAGGATGCATGAAATTTAAGCCCATAATATTATACGCGTAATGCAGATATATACCATGAAAGTTGAATTGGTCCTCTGCCTTTGTAAGTTTTTCCTGGGTAACAAGGCCATTGTTGGTTGGTGGAATCACAATAGTCACTTTGTGGACTAACTTCTTCCTTGAAACACAATCCCCAAGCATAGGGTCCATCAGGTGCAGTAGCCCACCCACCTGTGGTTTCATGCGAAATTTGAGCAAGAAACGCAGCAATCTCACGTTTGCGTGTGACTAAACTACCACTAGAACCAAATTGAGGGAAGCTTTTGGATGCCATGATGAAGGAATCATAGTTGTAGAAGTTTTTAGCGGGGCATGCAGCGTTATCTTTGTGTAGGAAAATGGAATCAAAAAGTTGTTGGCTAACGAGAGAAGAAACGGGTGAAATACGAGCTTCAGCTCCCAAAGACAAGGAGTGAAGAAGAATGGCAAAGCAGAATATGAAGGTGGAGAGAAAGACAGCCATAGAGGAGAATGAGGGTGCCATTGTTAAACAAAAAAGGGTCAAATTCAAAATTGGCTTTTGTTTTGGGAGAAAGAAGACTGCTGAGTAAGGCATTTATAGACACCATCTCAGAGGAAAATGTCAGAACACACAGTTGAATTTGGCATATTATACTGTCATACATAATATTCCGTACCCATTTATAAAACTTTTTCATCTAACTCAATTAATAACAATTTGTATTATTATTCTAAGATTACTTTATTCCATTCCTTTAAAAAATTGTTCGAACTAACCAAAATAAAAATGAAGATAGAAGAAACTGGTGAGAAAAGAGAAAAAAAATTGGCAAAATATTAATCCAGAGGGCTTTGCATTTGTGAGTGAGTGTTGACATAGTGTAGAGTGGGAACAGTTGACGAAGCATTTGGCAAAAGCCACACGGCAACTTTAGTCAATAGTGCCACCCTTCATTCTTAATTTTGACTACATCAAACGTTGATTTTCCTATGGGTTAAGATTACTGTCATCATTTAAGTTTTTTTTTTTTTCAAATATTCAACTTTCCTAATTTAAAACTATATTCATTAAACTAAATTCATTCTACGTGTGTTGACGGTGGTCGACAAGCAATGTTGATTGAATATCATTATCAATAATCTTCTTTATTACAGTATTAAACCATATAAACTATAAAAGTGAAAATTAACAATATACAAAATTATTACGTACTTATTATATATTTTTATTGAAAAATTTAACTATAAATTTAAGTTCTACATAGTTTTTTCTCGTTAAGATCTCATCTATCAAAATTCAATCCAAGAATTTTAATTATGATTGACTTCTTTCTTTATAATAATTAATCTCGATTTTCTAAAAAAAAACAATTATTCTCAAATAATGTTTGTATTTGATAGGAAGTATAAATATCAAATCAAATTTCGTCATTTTTTTTTATATTTTAAATCAATCTAAAGTAAATAATAAATAAATAAAAGTGTTTACATTGAAAATAAATATAATATAACTTCTACTACTTAATATCAACAACTCAATTGGTGTGAATGGGTTAATCTAGGCATGGCAACGGGTGGGGGCGGGTTTTGCCTCCCGATCCCCGCCTCAACTTTTTTAATCATCTCCGTCCTCGCCTCGATCCCGCGGGTTAGAAATTAAGTCCCCATCCTCGTCCCCGTTGGATTTCGGGTTTTCCGCCCCGCCCGTCCCCGATTTTATATTATTTTTAAAAAGATAATTACATTTATAATAAATTAATTTTATTATCTATTTTTTATATATAAATAAATATTTATAATTTATAATAATTATTAATTAAATATATATTTTAATTTATTATATTTATATTAAAATATATATGAAAAAAATATTTAATCATTTTTTATTTATAATATTATTATTATTATAATATCGTATTCAAATATTTGAATATTTATAACACTATTATTATAATACTATATTCAAACATTTGATTATATATATAAGTTAAATTCATTTTTAAGTTGTTATTTAAAAATATGAAATATATAGTTTATAAGTGTCGTCGCCGTCTGAAAAGAGGCGGTCTGAGCGACGTGATGGTTTCGACCCTTTTTTATTTTTCGCGTTTTTTATAGGTGGTTACAACGCCTTTAGGTTGTCCGATAACCGGGCTAACCTAGGGGCGAGGTTTTCGAAAGGGCGTCTTTGGGTTGTCCGATAACCGGGCTAACCCAAGGACTATTTTTGAGGGGTTCTGTGGAGTCGTCACCGATGTTTTTACCAGAAACATCAGAAAATGGGTTTTTAAAGGCATTGGTTTTCAAAAACCAACTTTGGTCATTAGAACCAGAGTTTGGTAAGGGAGTTAGTTACGTGTAAATAGAGTATTAGTCCCTTTACGACGCCCCTTTCGGGTTCCCTATGACAGGCCGGCTATTTAAAAATATTTAAACCGTGGAAAATTACGCTTTTGCCCTTTTTATTGTGCGGAATTTAAAAGTATGACTATATGGCCCTAATCTATTGCATAATATAAATTTAAAACGATAAAAGGGGAGAGCAAGAGTTTAAACCTCCGAAGCAAGCTTTCTTTTTTTTTTATTTCTCTTTAAAAGAGGGTGCTGTTTGGCAACCCTTCACTCTACACAATGCTGGAAACTTTTCTAGATGCCGAAAAACGCTCTCAAAGGCACTCAGAAACTCCGAAAATGCGTCGGAGGGATTCTAGAGAGAAGTTTTAGAGAGAAGGGAGAGCTAGAAGCTTGTGGTGTGTGGAAATGAGGGGGGAGAGCCCCTATTTATAGGTTTTCGCGCTGTCAGGTGGCGAGACCGCCGGTCTCGTCTGACAGGGTCGAGACCGCCGTCTCACCCTGTCAAACGCGGCGAGACCGCCGTCTGGGGAAACGAGACCACCGTCTCGCCACTTGCATGAGGCGAGACGGCGGTCTGGTCCCAACAAGGCGAGAAAACTTATTTTTTTGTACAGAAACTCCCTCCTATCCTAGTATTGGGCCTAATAGTCTCTCCTAATGGCTTGTTAGGCTTCATCCATCTTCAAATAGGAGGTCTTCTGGTCTTTATTTGGAGGCCAGACAAAATTTGGGGTCTACAATAAGGAAATATTTAATAAGTTAATTCTTATTTAATTGGTTCGAAGTAATAAAAATTTAAATTATCAATTCCTTTAATCCTTTAAAATACAATTATTTCATTATGATAAAATTTGATATATAATAAATAAGAATAATAAGATAAAAAAATGACATAATAAAACCTAATAAATATAAATTATAAATAAAATAATATTAGTTACTACTAAGATTTATGTAAAATATTTAGAAAAAGATAAAGAATAAAAAAAAATAACTTTGTGTTCATCAAATTAGTTGAAAAGAATGAAAAAAAAACAAATTGATGAGAGAGATTAAGGAAATGTGAAAAACTGAAAGGTAAGAGAAAGAATAATGTAATAAATTAATTGATATAAAAGATTAAAAAAGACAAAAAAATTAAAAAGTGGGTAGAAGAAAAAAAATTTGGTGAAATATAAAAAAATGACCTTATATATAATAGAAAAAGAAAAAAAAACTTTTAAAATATTAATATTTTAAAATTTAAATTTAAATATAAAGTCGGGGTGGGGATTGCATTACCCATCCCCGCCCCCGCCCCCGACTTTTTAAAGCGGGGAAAACCCGAACCCGCCTCCGGTCAACTCAGGTTTTCCCCGTCAAACTCGGGGCGGGGACGGGTCGGTCCCCACGGGGACGGGTTTAATTGTCATGCCTAGTTAATCATAAAACAAACTTTAAGGTCAGCTAGATGGGATGAGTGTATTCACTAAGAGAAATAATTTCTTTTACAATTATGTATTATGCAAAGTGAAAATAATTTTTGTTAAGATTTGTGTTTGTTTTCGCATTTGGTGGAATTTTGTTATATGGTAGATTTACTTATATCTACTATTGTAAACAACATTAAGAGGGGGAGAAATAATTCAGAATTATTTCTAGCTGTTTTTTATCGAGGTTGGTACCTCGAAATACCAAATTCGTCTCTTTCTCTACATCTTTTATCATTTTGTGCTTTTTATGGCTTCTTAAGCCTCCATTAATCTTCTTATTAAGCAATTGGCTCACCTCACTGAGCGTATCGATGACATTTCCCATGATGTTCCAGTCTTCCAAACCAAACCTTCCACCGCACATACACAGTCTCCATCACCTAAAGTCATGCCCCATATTTGCCTAGACTGTCCACGGTTTAATGGGTCTAACACTTTAGATTGAATTTTTGCAGTAACCTGATTTTTTTAATACTATCAAATTTCCAAAGCTGAACGACTCCAACTCCTTCCTTTCTACATGGATGGTCTTGCACTCAGTTGATTCTAATGGATGGAACGAAATAAAATACTGCTTAATTTGTCAACTCCCTTGAAACATGATTTTCCCCTTCTCATTTTCACAACATAAAAGGTCGTTTGTGCAAATTATCTCAAACCAGTTCGGTTTTGCAATACCTCATAGAATTTGAGAGTCTTGCCAATTGTATCACCTATGTGCCTCCATCATTAATGCTCAAGTGATGTGAACATGACCTATGATAAAGGCTAGAACAAGAGAAGCAAATGGAGCTCTTCAACAAGTATTGTTGGTTGACTAAATTGTGTTTTGGATTAATCAATTAATGAGTTTTAGTTTAGTTTTATTGCAAGTTGTAATAAGCGCCCAATTGAAAATTTAGTTTTCAGTTTTTGGGAGACCAAGAGGGTGCATAGCTGATTGACTTTTGAATGCCACAATTTCAGTTATAATCAATCATTAAGTAGTTTTCAATTCCTAGGTTAATAAATCATTATTAGCATTTATTTTCTTTTAATGAATATTTGTAACTCTGATGGCAAAACTTTTTTATAAGCTGAACTATTTTTATAAGAAATAACAAGTTGAGTTTATTTTTAGAAATATTAGAGTTTATCTCTTTTATCTTAGTGAGAGTGATTCTCCTAAGTTCTTGAGTGATTCAAGAATATTTGGCTGTATCAAAGGACTTTCACATCCTTTGTGTGTTGCCTTCCTTAGAAAGAGTGATTATTTTCTTCCACCTTCTTTCTAATTCCTAAATTTCTTACAAGGCTCTAACCCTAAAGATCCTAAATTACCCCTTGTGATTCATATCATCAAGTGTTTCATCTTTAGAGTGCAACCCGCATTTAATCGAAGTTCTCGTTTTTCAACCAGTTACATTTTTCGAAGCATCGAAGTTGGCCAAATTGCAGAAAGATAAATTTGGTTCTATTGCAATTCATTCCAAGCCTCTATAAACCTCAATTCTGCCACCAACTTTTGCAGCGACATGGCCACCATTATTACCCACACCATCCGCACCGAAATCCATTATAAGCGTCTTTTCGCCTCCGACATGCAGGCTTGACGTGATAAAGGCCTTTGCTATAATTGTGATATAAATACAGTCCTGGTCATCGTTGTAAATCTCATTTTTTTCCTTCTGGTACATCATGATGATGATGATGATGAACAACCCGCCCCAAAAACATCACCACCGGAGTCTTCCCAGCCAGACAATACGAGTTCTGCACAGTTGAGCCT